TATAAATATATCCTTTTTCAGACTATAAGAACAATAAAATGTAAAAGTACAATGACTGTTCCGTGTAACGTTTTGCAGTGGGCAGTCAGCCAATCGCGTTCGTCTAATACGAAGGAAAAAAATCGACCCAAATTAATATGTTACGGTACAGGCGCAGGTCGCTGGATCGATATCAAACACTACACGTTAATAATAAAAAAGTAAATTAGACACTTACAATATGAATGCAACTTCAACAAGTTCGTAATTATAATTATTGAATGACCGGACGATTGACTGACGGAAGATAGTGTTAAAGTGAGAAGATGGTTATTCACCTGCGATATCCCCGTTTTATAAATCAATATAAATATTATGCAAAGGCGACATTCTAACACAGTATAGATATAAAGTATATTGAAGACGCAACATGCTCGCTTTGTGATTGTACGTTTTAAAATAGAGCGCGTCAACAATGCAACAGTAACGAGCTTTTTATTGTGCGATCATGGATCAATAAAAGACTTTTATAATCCCAAGCGACATAATCTACGAGCAGCAGTCGTCACTAAACACTTCCTTCGTTACGGGAAACGTATTTTATCACAAGGTCGAATTAATAATTATTAAAACCTCAGTCATCTTCTCAGTCACCACGAAACATCTTTAACGCGGAAAAATCAATAATAAAATATACTATTGCGTAATACTAGCTGAAAAATGTCCTATTAACTGAGTATTTCAAGTCGCACCTTGAAGTGTTTTATGAAGTTTACTTGGCCTTCGCCTTTCGGCGGGCGACACGTAATGTGTACTTTGCCGCATGACGTTATGTACATATTAAACAACTAACTTACAATGCATTAAAGTTGACTTTTTTGTCATTTTCTTTAATCAAAACAAAATTACTAGAAAGGTTAACAATGTTAAGGCAATGAATTTTAGCGATAATAAGGTCATTTGGTACATTATGATTGCAGCAGTCATTATGAATTCGTTGATGCGCATCGGAATGATTAGGGCAATAAAACTTCTGCCGGTGCAGTGCACATTTGCTCAAGATGCACCGGTGCAAGCGACCGCTTGCGCTGACGCTGGCGCGGTAGCGGGTAGAGGCAGTGCCGCGGGGCTATCGCAGCCGCCTCCAGTTCGCCAGCCCGCCACCACGGCATGCCACGCTAGTATGCCGCGCGCCGCCACACCGAGCGCTCTGACGCTGAATCGACTCCTAATAAAACAAACAGAGCTATTATCTCGCCGCGATAACGACACTATATCAGTTCGTGATAATTTACCAGAGTGATAACAGATAAAAAACGAAGTGGACGACGCCTGCTTCGCTGTGCCCCTGTTATGTAAAAGTTTTACAATCGGAAAATCTTCGGAGTCGCAGCTATGACGACGATGGCGGGACCTCGGAAGACTGTCTCGATTTATGACTATCCCGAGCACCTGAACCCTTTTCGGGAGGAGGATAACCACAACAAGATACGGTTCTGGACGATCGGGCGTAAACTCAGTCGATCAAACAGCATCACGTTTAAGGACATAAGAAATTCCTGGTAAGTTTAACTTTTATGACCTATACTTTAGTTCTTTTGTTACATCAGTATGATTGGCTTTATTGTTTTGATACGATGTATAATGTTATCATTTTGCGCAAGTCGGCCGGCTGTCCGGGAACAAACCCCGCACATTCTGCGGTCTCGCGCCGACCGCACGTCATAAAGATCGGTCAAGGAGCTCATTGATGAAGTATTCTTTGTTTATTGTACAATGTTAATACAACGGCATCTAATAAATAGAAAGATCGTAATATCCGGCTATTAATAGTCAATATTCAGAAGTCCATGCGTCATTCGACTATCTCAAATGCTGTTGTTTAATTGCAAACTGCGAGCTAGTGATTGGTTGTGCGTGATAGAAATATTTCCTCTAATAAAGCATAGATAATTACCCTTACTGTAATGTAAAACAAGCATCAGTCTCTATACATTATTGAATATTACACTGCACTTATTCGATGTCTCTTCGCACTATAAACTGTTTTTTTGTTATTATTTTTTACCTAATGATCATTTATTTAAATTTAGTATACCTAATTATAAATACGATATCTCTGCCTTAAAACAAAATGTACAAGGAAAAATATTAAGACACTGACATAAATAAACGCATGTAAATAAACAGTCACGCTGATGACTTGCTTGTGGGAAGCGACCACGGATTTAATTCCATTTGGCAAGTAACATACCCTGTTTCCATATCAAAATATGAACAAAAACTTAAAAAGACTAATTAATCAGTTAAATATATGAGAATGATATCTAAACGCACTTCACTTTTGTGCATTTGGATGTCTTTTTCCTTGTTTTGCAAAAAAGAAACATTGTAGAGTCTGACCAAGGTGATGTCTTCTTAATGAGGGTTTCCTTAGATGTTTTATGTAAATCTCTTAAAATGTTTAAATTTCATGTAGCATTTAATACTTTCTTATGTATACAATTTCGCTGTTAATTCAGCGATGACGCCATGTTTGCCGTCTACCGCTGCAAATGAGATAATTGTGTAAATATTTATTTAATGCCGTCCGAAATTGTACAACATTTTACGTGTGAAGATTAATTACAAGCCAGTTTGTGTCAATGATTCCTCAGTTCCGAATATTGCATCCGAACATTCAGTAAAATTGACTAGATTATTGATTGAAACCTTTTGGAATTAACAAAGGTAGAGGCGAATGATTGTAGTTTGTAATTTGTTCTTATTTAAAATAGAAATTGAGACCTTGAATTATTTTACATATTCTTAATTTTACTTATTTCCCAATCATTGTTATTGAAACCAACGTGTAAATTTTGTAATCAGGTTTTGAATAATAATTAATGTTTCATCAATTCGATAAATAGGTTAATAACCTCAAATAATTTACAAAGTGGTCGAGTACAACAAATTCACTATAGTCTTTTTAATTAGAGCAAGTTCGTAGTATTTTTGTCTAAATTTAAAACACTGGTAGCGTTGAAACCTTTAAAACATTTTCATCCCTCTCATTCGTCTAGAGACTAATGTTGAGATAATTGGGTATTTCTACAAACGCGACCTACGGTTATTTTTATTTACTAGAATTATCATAAATGATTATCTTAGAATAACAATATCAATGTTTAGTTAGGCAAAAATATGTCAAAAGAGCAAACTTTTATGCACTCTCCCAAAACTTATTTCTTTTGTAGTTTTTTCGATATTTATGTACATTATTATGTCGATGCTCAAAGAAACTTTACAAGTGTCTTTTGCGTGATAAAAATGCTTAAATAAGTATAGTTAATTCGTTTACTTTCTTTGACAAAATTGTGTAGGCAGTGAAAAACGATCGAAAAACAAGGCATTATTAGTTTTGGTACCTGAACAGTTATTTACGGAATATTCCTTTAACAATTCGTTATTTTATAAAGGCATTGTTAACACGATGACTTCGCATGTGATTAAAGTTGTGTCCACTTAAGACGTGATACAATTCATTGTGACAATGTTATTGCGTATAAAGACACCAGCGGTGTAACATGTGTGGACTCAAACATTAATTGCTGGGATGCAAAGAGCACAATGAGTCATTAAATCTCTTGCGACACTTGATTGTGTCACCAATATTTCATTTGGCATTATCATTTGCATCTTCAAGGTTTTAACATTATTGTAATAGACAGTGTAAACACTTCTTAGATTACTTTGAAATAAAACTAGCTGTTGCTCGCGACTTTGTCCACGTAAAATTTAAAAAAATAGTAAAACATTATGCCTATGTTACTTAGCGTAACATAGCTTTTTAATGGTAAAAGATTTTTTTAATCGGCCCAGTACTTTTTAACTTATTTCAATACATGCAAGAATTTAAAACTACAAAATTTTCCTCTTTCAATATTAGTATAGATAATGCTTAGTGGCTGGAGCTCGGTCGACTTCTCTGCAATTTTCAACCTTAACAAGTTAGTTGTAAAGTAAAAACTAATAAAAGATTATACTAAGTTTTGCCCTAATTAATGACAATAGTACAGAAATGTAAGGTATTTCATTTTCTCTAATATATTGTACAATAATATGCTAATTGCAAATAATTATATTAAATAGAAATTTTTGCGTTTCCACGAGTTAGCACAATTTTGCAGCGATTTCTAAGCCCGCGTTGTTCATGTAAATTGTCCGGTAACACGATATCACAACAGCGACTCTTCAACTATTCGAGCTGGACTTTACCCGCCATTTTGCATAGTAAGTAAATTTATACTCGCATTTATGTAGCAAAAATTTTAATTTTTATTTAAAAATTACCACAAAATCGAGTAAGTTGAACCTCTACAAGGTATGGCACAAATTCGCTAATAATTTATTGTGTTTACGCAACTTCATTTAGAGATAATCATTTACTGCACATGTGTGGTTTTGTGTAGTTTCAATAAATTAAGAACACTACTAAAAACAATAACTTATAACTTCTGCGACAATGAGACCTTAACTCTGGCACAGACTAAGATACGGGAAACGGGAATTTTAATCACAGTTTTCGATGGGCAAATACAGTTTTTAAAAATGACGTATTTGCCACATCTGTTCTTTTCATTAATCTGTATACAGTCTTATCAAAATTCTATACGGAGTTCTACGGTCTTGTCACGTGGAATGAGCGTCCGTTTATTTATAGAGTTGAAGTCAGTCCTACTGGCCATAAACAAAGTAATGACGTGTATGCATAGTAGGTAATTGCTGGAACTCTGGTTTATTATTTAAACATATAAAAATAATCTAAATATGTCATGTTCGAACTGGAGTAGTGTGTATTCGTGATCTACAATTCTACAGCACGCAGCTGCAATTGTTTCCTTTTGGTAGCTTACTTTTCTTAACAATTATTTAATGCTTTCTTACCAAGGGTTTCCACAATCGTAATAAATGTTGTCACCCCTATTCTCTTTACGAAATCAGAGATAAGAATATCTTTTTGTACAATGTTTTATACAGTTCTAACCCACGGTAATTTGCAAAACTGTTGCTCCCAATTCGGCTATTGACCCGGATTTTTGTTTTTCTATCAACTGTAATGAAAGATTCAACTTGTCATCCTTAATCAATAACAAGTATCATACCTGAGATCAATAAAAAATTACAGTTATCGTAATAAGACCAATGTTTTTGTAGTAAAATCTGAAGAAGTCAACGATCTTGTTTCATGGTTGACATAAAATTGATGACTAAAACAGTATAAGAGAAATTATTGAAAATGAATAAAATTCTAAGGTAATGAGGCAAATAGAAAATACATAATTAAATTCTATGCTATTAAGGAAATGAGACCAACCTTCACGTGGACCTACTTTTCTTGTGCAAACAACGGATTCACCAGTAACGTGATATCGAACATAATACTCTTACACCTCAATTATAAATACGTCAGTTCGTATTAACAATTTGTACAAATAAACACGATAAGACTAGCTAGGTATCTAATATAGTATATAACTAAAGAAAATTCGGTGGTCTTAGTAATTTCACTAAATTGAATTGGTTAATTTATTTGTGTACATTTGGTTGTTACAACAAACTGTTTACTGACAATAACAGTCCCAACCTACACCCAACTGTGAGTGCGGTGGTCAGACTTAGAAATTATTGACACTTCTGCAACAAGTCTAGCCACCTCTAGCAAATCTAGGCTGTCACAAGTCGCTGCTAACCAATATTGCGACAATGGACAACCGAATGTTACAACCGTGTATTGCGTCATTACAATTGTATTTGTCATGTTTCGTTCTTATTTATTTTTATGATGATAATATTTTCTACAAATTTCTTCATCAGCTCTGGCTCTGGTGAAATAATTCACCGAACATTGCCTTACAAATTACTAGCTTTCTCCATATGATACGTACTCCGTACTCCGTATGTTTGCGAGGAATTAAAAAAAAAAACAAAATTGAGTAGCCTATGTGTTCTTCCAGACTATCCTCTATTTCTGTACCAAATTTCATTGCAATCTGTTCAGTCGTTTACACTACAAACTCTAACAAACATCCATCCATCCATTTAAACTTTCGCATTTATAACGTTAGTATAGATTCAATAATATTTCTGACTTCAATGAAAAGTAAGTATATGTAGTGTTTGTATTAAAAAACGTTTTATTTACTCGATAAATACAGATATTGCAAAAAAGATGTTGCTGTAAAATACCTATGGTACAGTCATACATTGACCTACTTGAACACGCTACACGAGAATTCAGACAGCATGCGATTAGATATTAACTACTAGATATTTTTTTAAATTCAGATTTCAATATATATACGAAAACATTTAAGATGAAGTGTTTATAACATGTCATTCAATTAAACTAATTATTGAAATTATTCAAATGATTTAAGTAAAACCAGGTGAACTATGCATAGAAAATTATATTCTGTGTGTTCATTAGGTCAGAACATTAGTAGAGTTCTTATTGTAGCAACCAACATTTGTAGAACAACACCACACAACCAACCAACAAAACCAAATGTTTAATTAAAAGATTCGCTGTTTTAAATTTTAAACAGCGAATCATTTTCCTAAATACTATTAAGATTACTGGCCACACGACGAATAACCTTTTCTTTTAAATGTAAAAAAAAGATTTTGATTCTTTTTTATACGTATTTGCAGCCAGTCTGAGTGACACGCCACCAGTACGATATAAGGCCAACCGTCAGGTGAATGTCCCGCTCGTTTTGCCGCATAATGTTATTAAAGAATCGACTTCAGTGCCCTAAGCTTATTTTGTTTAACCGCTTGCCTTCTTATTCGACTCTGCAGATTACTTAGAATGCGACAGCTTATAGCTTTTTTTTACTTTGTATCTGGTGTTACTTAGTCTTCGTCCTCTCTTAGTCACTAATTAACGGTTTAGGTTTCGAGAGAACCGTCACACTACATGCAGAATAAAATCTACGCGATACCTACCATATTCTTATTATATAAATAGATTTATTGTGCAAAATTTTCCTTCAATTAATCATGATTATATTATCACAGCTTACATAAAATGCGCAATAACCTTCACACTGCATGGTATAGTTTTACAATTTATTGGAGTCAATTAGGCTGAGTGCATGTAACGCGATACTACCGCCAACTCAGCTGCATCCTCCATGCAAAGTCATCATTGATCATGCTGTAACAAAACCTCTTCCTACGATTGCCAATTGTTTTAGATACCGAGAATTCCGGTAATACAAATGGAATTATCTTGTCCAGTTTACTGTTAATCTGAGTGTTATAAATAAATAATTCAGACGCCACGGCTTCGATCGATAACGATAGCTGACTGAAATATTGTTAAAGAGAGCGGCTTACTTCTTGAATCAGTTGTAGGCATATCATCGAAGGTTCGCTTATCGTAGAATTATTATTATTTAAAAAAGGATTTTTGATACTTTACTTTTCAAATAAGATCCTTTTCGATCTATAAAGTGTAAAATTCGCTTCTGCGCATTATCTTGTTTAACAAATTTTGTTTGTAACTACTAGATTTAAATAGCCGATGATGCAAACAATGGGCGAGTAGAGACCGTTCGATCATAAAACGCCTCAGGCATTCAGGTGCATAAATTAAATACATTACTATAATACTAACATTAATTTACAAGCGCCGCACAATAGACGATATTTCAAAACATTTGAGAATACTAAATGCAATGTTCGTAACCTAGAAACTCGGTACTTTGATTAAAGCCCTTTGTTTTTAACGTTTACCTATTAAATTAACACGAAGTACACACGTGATCACTTACATTTTAATTATTGACAAAAGATATTAGTGACGAAACGGGTCTTGTAGTTTTTGGAAATTAACAAAACAAAAACAATTGAAGTTAGATTACCATAACGTACATTCGTATTAATTTGTAGGTAGAGTTACAGGTAAAGGCGGTAAAAGGAAAATATAGTAGGTAAAAGCGGTGAGCTGGACCGTTTGTCGATTTATCAAGCAGAATATTGCATATTAAAATTAAACTATAAGTACCAACTCGTATATAAATAGTGTATCCTTTCGGAAATCTGTTCAACACGTCTGCTCTTACCTCGCCCATATAAACATTAACGATTTTATATCTTTTCATACGACCTAATATAAATATTATATTCACCTGATAATAACGACTTGAACAAGGTCAATATCGCCGTAAGTTTGTACAAGCTATCGGATCGCTGATAAACCTGTTTAAAAAGCCTTTGGATCGTAACACATGTTTACAGATATGAAAAAATATTTCAGTCTACTCATTAGCTTGTACGAACAAGTAAATTATCTAAATCAGTACGACTAAGGATCTTAGCTAGCGTACCATTTCTCAAAAGGTCGGCAACGCATTTGTAGTTTATCTCGTAATCCGAATGTCCATCGGGCATCGTTGATCACCTCGGTGTTCCTATCGCTCGTTTGCCCGCATTTTCTTATAAAAACCATATGTATACTTTTTACTTAATTGCTTTATTTTTTCTTTATAAGTGAAAAGTTAGCAGTCGGAACAACGAGGTGATTCTTACGTATCAGTATCATGTAATGTTATAGGCTAGTATAGTATTTGCTAGACAGTGAAAGACGTTTAATCCAAAGTGGGCAGCAAATTTAATTCTTTGACTACACATAATCATAATCCAATATTTGATTATTTAACTTCTTATTTTAAATTACATTTACGCCTTTGTCACAAAGCTTATTTTTATCCACCGTTTCTTGATATTTTATGCAACATCTTTCTTAATCTATGACATCATAAGATAAGCTAAATAAAATGAATCAGCTCATAAAAAGAATGTGAACTGAATGTGGGTCATGCATATAGACGCTATGATTGTTTAGTTAGACCTGCATTAGTGTGTTCATTATCACCACCTGAGCACACAACGAAGGTCGCGACCTCTTTTCTGAACATCCTTAACTACTCCACTTGGAAGCATAACTGTTAAGTTACTAGAAAATATGAAATGAGTACTAGTATTTCTCTTTAATTTTCTATCAACTTTGTTGTAATGAATTTTTGTCAATTTTGCAAAGATTTTTCAAACTAGCAACATTATGCGTTAATCTTTATGAACAGAGAAAAAGAATATATCGTACTTTCTCTGTTATTCCACTCGCCATCCTTTCTTTGTTAAATTAAATTAAAACGACATAACTTATCAAAAACCATAACTCTCATATTAATATTGAACAAGATACGATTGAATTGATTTCAGTCTTTATGTAATGTAATTGGTCCACAATTACGGGCATTGTATACGCGCATTTAAGTCTTCCGACTGAACCGGTTCCCATCACATACGGGAAGGACAAGATGAGGGATTTCCTTTTACAGACCTGTTTATAAACTTATCGCAATGCGGTCAAATTTTTCACAAAACGTATGAATGATTTGTTCTTTTCTGGGTAAAATAATCGCTACATAACATTTAAATTTACGTAGAGTTTAGATGAAATTTGGTATGAACGTAAAGGATAGTCTGGAAGAACACATATGCTACTCACTTTCGTTTTTTTCTAATCCAGCGAACGGAGTCGCGGGCAAAATCTAGTTAATATTATAAATGCGAAAGTTTAGATGGATGGATGGATGTTTGTTAGAGTTTGTAGCCTAAACGGGTGACCGGATTTCGATGAAATTTGGTATAGATGTAGTGGATAGTCTGGAAGAACATATAGACTAGTCACTTTTGTTTTTTTTTCTACGCGGACGCAGTCGCGGGATAATGGTAGTATTAAATAAATCTGGGTTATACAAGGAATGTTAATAAGCTTTATCGTTTTGCATAGCGAGTTTGTCACTATTAAATTAACACAATCTAGAATTTATGTCAAGCGCAATAGCATCAGATAGTTCAAGACCGGGTCAAATGTTGACTTATCCTAAGACCTAGACAATAAAATCATACCCGAGCGTTCAGATTATAGCAACAACGCACACTATCGCATTTAAGACTTTTGACCCCAATCATTATTGCAGCTATCGGAATGTTTATTTATTACTATTTTTTTATACAATAAAGGCATAAGGACAAATAG